GGCTATCAATCATTCTGGCCGCAGGCAGAAATCATCGAACAATAATAAAAATAAATAAAAAGAAAAATATCCAACAACACAATTCCATTCCCAAGTTCTCTGTAGTAACTTCCATATTTTAAGTTAGTTTATATTACAGTTAAATATATTAAATAAATTTATTTTTAAAAGGGTTATTGTCTCTGCCACATAACACAAAGCTTGTTTGCCATTTTTTCTTAATATATTAGTTATAGTGTACGACTTTGTGTTTTTGTCTCTTTCCTCCTCTTAGTTTTAGTTTAATAGGGCGGCAAAGCTTAAGGTGATCATATTACCCTCACGTACCTTAGAGATAAATCAAGACGACACCCTCGGTGTTGAAAAAAATTACCCATGCATTTGATCGGTTTCATGAAATTACTCCGTATAAGTATAAAAATATCTATACTATTACTGTTTGAGTTAGAAGTGGTGTAGTTTATAAAATATATCCAATAGTGTCAAGAAATAAAACTCGAAAAGAAATAAGTTCCTCACAAACATGCCATGCGGACGAAGTCGCGGGAACAGCTAGTGTGTAAAATAATAGTTACCTACTTTGGGATTATCCAGTCGACCTCTCAAGTCTCAACGCTATTTTAATTTAACGATTATATCAATATATTATACGCGGCACCTCAACCTACTGTTACCGATATTGCAAGATTGGTGGAATGTTTTTTTTTTTAATTTGCTTTATGAGCATTTAGAAGTCGTTGTGATAACCCCAAAGTACCAAATAATAATATTTACATATTATACGTATTCGTACTGGTAAGCAAAGTATAGAAAGGCCCTCTACTATCTAGAGCGAAGGTTCCCAATCTATTTTTTCTTGTAGACCACTTTCAAAGTTTTACCATTTTCGGTACATCCTTTGCTTCTACATTTCTACTGTATTCCCAAAACTCCTAAAAATATCACCCCAAATTATATTATACGATTTATTAAAATAATACTTTTGGTTATACAAACTAATTACTACAAATTAATTATTACAAACAATTAGCAATTGACAAAAAGTCAACAATGAACTCTGAAATGTAAAGCAACAAAAAAATAGTCATAACTTTAATGAGACGGATGTACTTGATGAATTGACAGCAAATTATTTGTAAATTTGGCTTCAGTTTTGTAAGAAGTTATCTCAAATCTCCCAGTTCTGTGATGGTTAATTTGCTCCTTTTTTTTTGTTAACAGGTTGGTAACGACACTAAAACTTCTTTCGACGAGATATGACGAGGAAAACGCTATCAAAAAATTTTCTCGCAATTTCCCACAGCCCAGGATATTTTTCGATGATTTCTGCCTGCGGCCAGAATGATTGATAGCCTTTTTTTAAATTTCACCTTCAGTACCTCGTTGGTGCTGAGCTCAAGTAGCTCCTTTTGTAATACCACATTCGCCTCTTCCATTTAATCAAATGTGGTTATGATCCATGGTGGTATTTCTATAGTCAGAATATCTTCAAATATGTTTTTAAAGTCATCGTGTGGGGTATTTAAATGTGAGTATGTCTGAATATCCTTAAGATATTCTATGTGTAAAGTGCAGAAACAGGGAGAATTCGCGCCGACTATTATATTGTTATTATTAAATTAAGGCTGTCCCCTTGTAAGTGCAACGTCATTGAATTTTATGAACAAATCCGTTAAGTACGCAATGTCCGCTTTATATTTGACCAGATTTTCTTTTAAATCTGGTGCTTTAGTTTTCAGACACTCTATCACTGATTCGAAAGGTGTGTAAAATTTCGATAAACATGCACCTTTCGACAACCAGCGTACTTCAGTATGTAAGAGCAGTCGTTGGAAGTCTTCATAATTTTCATCGCAAAATAGTGCAAATAAATGGGTATGCGTTAATCACAAATTGAAGCGATTGGTGCAATCTATCACTCAAATTTTTCGCTACAAGGTGTTGTCGGTGGATGACATAGTGGATTGCAATTAATCCTGGTATTATTCTTTTAAGATGGCTTATAAATCCATGACATCGCCCGAATATGGCAGGAGCCATCTGCTGCCACCGAAATAATGTTTGTAAATTGAATAGATTTTTCTGTAAAAAAAATCACTCAGGACATTAAATATCATTCCCAAATTCCCGAAGCAAATAAGGGCAACCCTCCGGTAACGGGGAGATCCTCCGGATTCGGATTGTTGGGAGATCTAAGTCTTGGTGTAGGTCGGCATTACGGACATAATAGGGCGAGTTAGTGGCCCTACGACAGAACATATTTTGAACTATTTGAAGTTCATTTATAACTTTGGGCTTAGCATGTGCGAAAATGGGGGCCGCGTAGGTCATGACAGGTCGTATGCAGACCTTATATAGGGTTCGCTTGTTGCGGAGGGACATTTTACTGTGTCTGTCCAACATGCTGTTGAGCCTACCCATGTAAAATCGCGCGGTGCGAGTTACTTTCTTGATATGGGGCTCAAAAGTGAGCCTTGCATCAAGGGTGACGCCTAAAAATTTGGCTTTTGTTTGCCATGGGACAGGGGTTCCTAACATCCTGATTGGCGGAGTGGCGGGGAGATGGCGTCGTTTATATTCGAAGCAAACGGCGAAGCTCTTCTCCGGGTTTACGTCGATACGCCATTTTTGGAACCAAGCTCCTAAGTCGTTAACTGACTTTTGGATCTTATTCCGAATCTGTGGCAGTGAGTTGCCTTTAGAGTAAAGGGCTGTGTCATCCGCAGAGAGGGCTAGTTTAACACCGTTTGACGGGATAGGGATGTTGTTGGTGAATAGTATATATAGGAGGGGGCAAGCACAGAGCTTTGAGGGACACCGGCTTTGATTTGACGAGTAGAGGATAGCATGCCTTCGTGTCTAAAACGAAAGGTACGATCCTTCAGACAGGAGGCTACAAGGCGGTCGAGACGGTCAGGGAGGCCTAAGCCGTACAATTTGTAGATAAGGCCCTCGTGCCAGACTCTGTCGAATGCCTTGGCAATGTCGAAAAAAAGTCCGCGATGGCATTTTGACGACGAGGATAACACGCGCTGAGGATATATTCCACTATGCGGTGAACTTGCTGGGGGCACGAATGCTTGGCTCGAAACCCGAATTGTTAAGGGATGACAAGAGGGTCGCCGTCTATGGGAAACAAATGGCGCCCCACGCGCACGAGAATAACTCGTTCGAAGAGTTTGCCCATAGCCTTGAGGAGGCTGATGAGACGGTTATTGGAGGGGAGATGGTGAGGTTTGCCCGGCTTGGGAATGCCGATGACAGTTGCCTTTTCCAAGAGGTGGGAAGGTATTTGAATTCGAAGCAGGCGTTGAAGATTATGACCAATAAGGCAATCACCGGCTCCGGTAAGTGTTTGAGGGCTTGGTTGGAGATGGCATCCGCACCCGGTGCTTTTTTGGGCTTAAGTTCTTTGATGGTAGATGAAATCTCATCTTTGGATACAGTGATAGGGTCAGAGGCGGTGGGGGCGAGTTCCGGCGACGAACCTCGTCCTCCACTAGTTTGATATGTAGGGGGTCGGTGGGTTGTGAGCTGTTGAGGATGTGGGGAGAGCATCGAGCGGCGACGCTGTCGGCGAAGCACTCCCTTTTCTTCCAGAATAGCTCGGACAGACAGAGGGGAGTATGCGTGATAGCGTCTATCCGGAGGGCTCTCGCCATCTGGTAGTACGCTGTGTGAGAGGAGGAGATTTTCTCAATGAGATTGCCCCTTTCGTTGAAGACGGTGGGCCGCGAGTCTATACTCGGGAGTGGGATTGCGTGCAGCTCTACGGAGGGCAGCTTTTTTGGCTTTGAGCAGGTTGCTAATAATAATAATAATAATTATAAGGCGTAGGGAAGTGACGACCCCATCGCCCGCTGACGAAACAGTTAAGTGACAAAACTGCTACGTCGGTGCAGTCAGTCAGCGCCTTGCCAAGAGGTGTGAGCGCCGTGCCTCGGCAGTACTCAGGGTGCAAAGGCCCGTTTGTGCTTACGGCCGTACAATGATACAATGAAACGGTGCCGGGCCTGGGCGTCTCCCGCTAATTGGCGCCCAAAAATGGATGATGGATAAGATTGGAAAACGTATAGGGCCGCTGCCTGGGGGTCGCCGGGGCGCGTCTGGAGCTGGCGCTGGACGCGGCAGCATGTGGGCCGCCAGCCGAGCGCGAGGAGCTGCAAGATCACCTAACAGCCCCCCGCATCCATCATCCCCACCAGACGGCTTGATGTCGGCAGGGTCCTCTCGGACTCGGCAAGCGGCATCCGCCGCTGGTGGAGTGCGCCGCATGCGTTGGACAAGGAATATGAACGCAAACGCATTGCGGGCGTACTATAGGGCGAAAGGAGAAGAAACTGCGGGGATAGCGTATCGGGCTCGGATGCATTGCTTTTTTGCTGAGCTGGAGCCGTCTATTCCCGTCACGGAACAAAACCTGTAACGGTACATCATGCGCTCGAAAATATTCGATGATGCCGAGCTCGAACGACTACGACGTGAGGCCATTCCCTCATCGAATGAATTGGTTACGGCTGAAGATGAGGCTCCTCAGGCGACAGACCAGCTGCCACGCGTAGAAGCCGCCATGGATCTTCCAGTTGTGGGTGATTCAGACGATGATGAAATGGTCTCCCACGAACTAGAGCAAATGAGGAGTATATTGGAAGAGGCGATTTTGGAAACGCGCAGCATGCCTCTCGAAAATCGACCGCGACTTCCCCGCATACCCCTAAGCAAGCGAAATCGGGCTGTCGTGAGGGCTCTTAACCCAATGCTGGTAACCTATTTGGAAGCCAGCCGGGACCTTTGCGAGACGGACTCAGTTCTTTGTGGCAGCTTGCCGTATTATTGGCGCCAAACTTCCCATGGCTGGACGCGCTACTAAACAAAGTAGCGCCATCCCAGCCTGGAGAAAAAGAATTGAGGACCGTATCGCAAAGGCAAGGGCCCTTATCGGCAGACTGATAAGCTTCAGGTCGGGTAATAATAGACCGAGGGTTGTGCGCACCGTTAGGATGGCGTTTTCTGGGACAAATATCAGTTTGTCCCAGCAGGATATCACGCAGAAACTAACGGAGCGCATAGACGACCTGAAGCAAAAGATTGCTGCTTGGGGGAAGCGGATTCGAAGATTTACCGAGAGGTCAAGGCGGTTCAACCAGAATCGTCTCTTCCAGAGTGATCAGAAGAGGCTCTACAAATCATTGGAGCGACCAGAGGTATGTGGAGCGGGCCCAGGACCGGATCAGGCTAACACTGTCGCATTTTGGCGTGGCCTGTGGTCAGAGCCCGTAAACCACAGCGAGGGCCCTTGGACGGAAGTTGTGGCGAGTCAGTGTGCGAGTATTACGCCCACGGACCCCGTCATCATACCGCCGGATGACGTAGCTGAGGCGATCCGTAGAGCCCCGAACTGGAAAAGTCCGGGACTCGACGGACTGCATCACTACTGGCTGAAGGGGTTCATGGTGTGTCACGCTGTGCTCGCCCGTCAGTTTCAAGAGGCTCTCAACCAGAAGTCGCTCCTTAGCCTCTTCACTACTGGGATCACTCATTTGGTTCCTAAAGACCAGGTTACCACAGACCCGAGCAAATACCGCCCCATTACGTGTCTACCCACCATATATAAGACACTGACATCCATTTTGAGCGCGAGAATCACTCGTCACCTGGAGCTAAATCAGGTGATGTCACGCGCTCAAAATGGATGTCTTGGCGGTGGTCGTGGAACTAAGGAACCACTCCTCATTGACGCGATCATTGGCAAAGTGGTGAAACGCAACCGTCGGAACTTCTCCGCCGCCTGGATAGACTACAGAAAGGCATTCGACTCGGTGCCCCATACATGGCTAAAGAGAGTCCTCGAGCTGTACAAGATAGACTGTACAGTGAGAGACTTCCTCGAGCAGTGTATGGGGCAGTGGAGTACGATCCTTTGTCATCTGGGTGAGCGGATGATGGCTGCGGAGAACCACATAAGGATAAGAAGGGGTATCTTCCAGGGCGATTGTCTGAGTCCAATCTGGTTCTGCCTCTCCCTGAACCCTCTCAGTACCTTACTGGAGGGATCCGGGAGAGGATTTCAGCTATGGAAAGGAGGGACAATAGTGACCCACCTTTTCTATATGGATGACCTTAAGTTATTCGCCTCCAGTCGCTCCCATCTTGTGGAATTGCTAAAAATCACTTGTGAGTTTAGCAGTTCCATTGGAATGGAGCTGGGGGATAAGTGTGTGGTCCCCCATGTTGAGAGGGGAAGGGTTGCTAACTCTGAGGGCATAGATTTATCTATGCCCGTCAACTTAAGGACCCTTTCCGAGGCTGAAACATACCGATACCGGTATGTCACAGAACATCGGTATCGATGAGGCTGGTGTGAAACAGTCAGTTTACGACGTGTTTTATGCACGCTTGACCAAAGGGCTTAATAGCCTTTTGTCCGGTGTGAATAAGACACACGCATATAACGGTTGGGTCATACCTGTCCTTATGTATGTATACCTTTGGCATACTCAGGTGGACTCAGACTGAACTTAAGACCCTGGATAGAAAAGTCCGCACTACCATGACGTCCCATGGGATGCATCATCCGAGATCGTCGGTAATGAGGCTGTACTTGCCGCGAAAGCATGGTGGGCGTGGCTTTCTGAGCGCGCTCACTATGCATAATCGTGAAGTGTGCAGCCTCCGTCATTACTTCCTGGCGAGATCGGATGATCCATTCTATAATGATGTCATTTCTAGTGATAAAGGGCTTACTCCTCTATCCTTGGCCAACGAGCAATGACAGGACCCAGCAGTGCTTAGCATTTCCGACCGGGAGACCGTATGGAAGGAGAAGGAGCTCCACGGGAGGTACTACAGGGCTCTACATGAGCCCTTCGTAGATACAGTCGCCTCCCTCAACTGGCTACGTTTCGGTGACCTCTTCGGGGGAAACCGAGGGTTTTGTCTGTGCAATACAGGATCAGGTTATTAAGACCAACAACTATCGGAGATACATCCTAAAGGATGGCACCGTCGACGTCTGTCGAGCTTGTCGCCATCCCGGGGAGTCACTTAGGCATGTCATCTCCGGTTGTTCGGCGCTTTCTAACTCTGAGTACTTGCACAGGCACAACCTAGTAGCCAGAATTCTACACCAGGAGCTCGCTCTGAAATACGGTCTCGTGGACCGGAAATTGCCGTATTACAAGTACTTGCCGGAAGCCGTGCTCGAAAATGACCGCGCCAGGCTCTACTGGGACCGGGCCATCATCACAGACAGGACTATTCTTGCAAATAAGCCTGATATTGTGCTGATGGACCGGGCACAGTCAAGGATATTTTTGGTCGACATTGCCATTCCGTATGACGAGAACCTCGTGAAAGCCGAAACAGATAAGCGAACAAAATATCTGGACCTGGCTCACGAGGTGACCGACATGTGGGGTGGTCTGCCGACCGAAATTATTCCTGTAGTCATCTCTGCAAACGGGCTAATCCCAGTCAGCCTCTCGGGTCATCTGAGGCGGCTGGGACTACGTGGCGGACCGCTCCAGGTTCAAATGCAGAAGGCGGTGCTCCTCGATACCGCCCGCATCGTCCGCCGGTTTCTTTCCCTTTCCCCCTAACCCTCGGCCGTTTGGTCTCCCCTGCCGAACCCCATCTGGTTGGGCTTTTATTTATTTAAGTATTTTTATATTTATTTTATGTTATTGATATTTATGTATATTTATCTTTTCATTTTCATTTATAATTATATATTTATAGAACCCAACCAGATGAGAAAACTATATAGATACCCCACAAATAATAATAATAATAATTTATTTTATTTTGATAAACTGTACAAATTATTCCAATAAGTCTTAACTTAAAAATAGTCTACAATGACAGGCACCTGAACTAGGATAAACCTGTATCTCAGGTGTATGTGCTAAAAGATACATTAACAAATATTTTCTGTTTCTTATATAAAATGAATAACGTACTAACTAATAAGGGTTATTTGGGTAAAATATATCATCATTGACTTACTTATGATATTAATTAACTTAAAACAATCAGCAACTTCTCCGTATCATCGTATGACAAATTTTGTAACCATGTTCGAATTACCTTTTTTACAGTCTGTCATTTTTAATGGATATATATACAAAATTGCATTGACTTGATTATACAAAAAAGGGCCGAGGAATGTAAAAAATCTATGCATGAAATAATGCCTTATTCTAATGTTAGTTTTAATTACTATATCTTTGCGTCTTTTATCAGTGACCTCTCTTCTGTAGGGCAATTTTAAGTGCTGTTTTAGTACCGTACTCATAACGAATAACTGGCGCACTGAGAGGACATTATAGGATTTGTATAAGAGATGGGATGGAAATAGAATAGGGCGGATAATATCTAGGGGAAGACTAGTTTTAGCAACCGGGATAACCTTTTCATTCTCTTTAAGAGAGGATGTTATAAGAGAGGTGAGATTTTCGACCGCGGTGTCTATTTTCCCCATACTCGAGGAGAAGGATTTGGTTTATATAGTGTAGGATCGTAGGAAACTAGGAGGTGGGGGTAAAATAAAATAAAAATAAGGGAACAACATTATACTTGTTTGTATTTATCGTTAACTTATTCTAAGATACAATTAAGAATGGTAAACTTTGAAACAATAAACATTAGTTTTTAAATATTACAATCTAATTAGTTTGGTTTCTAAGTAAGTAAACAATATAATTTAGTTTTAAAGTAAATAAACAATATAGGAGTAACATTATAGGAGTATATAGGACTTATAATATAAAGTGAATAGTATATAATACAACAATAGTACCTATGACATAACATTTGGCAATGATTAGGAACACTTCGAAAAATCTACACTACACCCATTGAGCTATTATGTACTACGTACTAGAGGCGACACTGCATTCACCTACTCTGTTCTACTTAAAGTTGTGCAAAACGACTATAAATCAATAGCACGCTACAGACTATAAACTATAAATTTCTAGCGCGCTATTAAATACGCTATGTTATAGCGCGCTATTTATAAGAAAGCGTGTAGGAGGCCGGTAAGCGCGTTAAGTTTTGCAGCAAGTTATGTCTCTTAGCACGTTACATTACATGTCGTTCATTGGATAGATCGCGTGCTATATAAGAACATTATTTCGTAATAAGTCGCATTTTAGACTAAAATAAAATAAAGCGGTAAAGAAAAACCAATGCGCGTTTTTTCATAATTTTTAGGCTTACTACTTTCTATAATCCTAAAAATATTTTTAAGTCATGTAATTTTTAAAATAGGATTAATTTTATTTTTAGAATCGAAATAAAATTAATTATTTTTTATTATAATTGACGTAAACATTATTATAACCTTAATATAAATTATAAAACAAATAAAGGTGTATTTAAAAGTTTATTTATTGTATTTATAAAAAACAATTATTTACATACACTATTATATACACTTTTGTATCTATATTTTATTTACATATAAAAACATTAGTTAGGCTTCTTTTATCACAACTGTGTCCTTTGATCATTTATAAATATACAGTGTACGCTAACTAAACAACGTCTAACATTAAATTAGGTCGCGCGCGATGAATAGCGTGCTACTAGATCAAATTTGCGTCACACGTCCTCTCCCAACAGCGCTGCTGCTAGAACTAATTGCCGCTATATATTAATACTTAATAGCGCCAAAGCGCCATAGCGCAATAGCGCCATAGCGCAATAGCGCCATGGCGACTAATTACATAACACGCGCTATGTGTTATGAAGAGATAGCGCGCTATAATATGGCGCTATGCGCTATATTAACCATCAGTAGTTCCACTCAACTGCGGTGCATACACCGCACTGTAATTAATCAGTCAGTAACTCGCTAGGCGCTTGTAGAGTTGTCACGTGTTGTGTTGATTTAAAAAAAATCTTTTGATAAAAATATGTCGTCGTGTGTACTTAGATATTTTAAAAATAATTGAAGAAATGTCAGTAAAAACCAAGGAATTACTTTATCAATAAAAAAAGTATTATCTCTAGATTAATAATAAAACAAATTATTTCTAGACGCCATCTCGTGTCGTATTTTAACCGCTCGATCCAGTTGACCCAAACGTCGCAGGCACATCACACAACGACACTACACCCACACTAAATGGGACAAACACTATTAGGACAACGAATGGGACGCGTCGCACCCGCAGACGGGCACGACGCGTTCCAGCTCACACCGCGTACACACCGTACACCCTCGTTCCTGGACGGTTCTCACCGCCCAGACTATCGACCGACACGAGCTGAGTAGTCAGAGACGGGGGTCCGCACACCTCCCTCGGACTGCGGTTAGATAGCTAAAATAAAAACTCCTAAAAAGGCGACATGATGATTGGTAACAATACCAAATCACAAACCATTTCATCATCATCCTCACCTCATTGCCTTTCCCTTTTTTAAATAGCCCTGAGTCAGATGAAGCTCTAAGAGTCGCATAGACTAACAGCACAAACATCTAGATACTAGACCTCTCGTGTCATGGAATATAGATTATGAAAATAATATGTTCAGATGCGACGTTTCTGTGGGTACTTAAGTATAGGACGAATACTTTATTATACAATTTTTTTTGTAGAAACATATATAAGTTATTATAATTAGGCTAAATTTTTCATGTTTAAATCTGCTTATTATTCTTTTATTTTATTTTTAGGTTTCCACATCAAAGTCGAAGTGGTATAAATTCCTCCATTTTTAACTCTCACGTGCCCAGCATTTATGAACGACTCCTATTCTAATTTGAATATATATATATATATATATATATATATATATTTGTAATTTAAATATTATGTTGATAAGTTTTGTTAAACATAAATTCAGTATGTTTTTATATTTGACATAGATACCTTTTAAAATATTCAGATAAAAATACCATTAAAATCTAATTGTGATATAATATTACGTAATATTATATTAAATAAGCAAATAAAATATACAAAATAAATGACAAAATTTAAATATTGTTCTCGATATAATTTGCCTATTTAACAATACAATTTACTATTACCTACGGGTCATTCTACCTATGTTTATTCTATGATAAAAAAACCAACCGCGCGAACACAGAGTAGCGCACATTTTTTGTTTGAGATAGCTGTTCTAGTACGTAAGTACATATTACTTCAATGACTACACCATAGTAAAATCGACTTATATAATTATTATAACATCAACTGTCAATATGGCGTCGATAGAGCATCGTCCTTTTCACTTTTTGTTATTTGATTGACTGACGAAAAGCTATCTTATCACAAAGCCATCTATTCAAACAAGGCTGTAGTTTTTGAGTTATATGAAAGTAACCATAATACCGTCGCGTACTATATACTAAAAATCTATTGCAGTTCGTTAGTCTCGCAAAAACACGAAAATGGCTCGACCGATATTGATGAATATTTTGTGTGTCTCTAAATTGTTTGAGTGGGCCTCTAAATGGTTTATAAACTCAGTTGGATCCGGTAGATGGCGCTGTTGTCGAGGTGCAGAAATCACCTTTAGGAAGCCGGGTCGGATCGCGAGTATTTATATAGAACTAAGCAACGTAGTAGCAAGTATTAAGATAATATAAAAATGAAACTGAAGAAGAGGTTTTTACAATTACTCTAATTTATACAAAATATTGTCATTGTAAATTTGTACGTGTTCCGATTTTAGCGAATTCATGGGATAATTTATGTGTATACCACGTTCGCAAAGATTTTAATGGTATAATATAATATTAAAAGTGTCACCTCTCGGCAAATATAAAAAGAAACCAAACGAAGAAGCTGCGAAACTAATTAAACCTTAGAGCTTAAAAAAGTTCACTGCTGAAAATAAGCCTCCACCATAGATTACCTCATAGGAGTAGGAGGTGATTTGAAATAGTTATCACGCTTGACAAGCGGATTGGTAACTGCAGTTTCAATAATTTTGCGTTGACAGTAGAAAGATTCTGCTGCCCATTTCTTGTAGCAGGTTCCCTCTGTCGCCTCTGACACCCACGGGACGATATGGGCCAGTGGATATTCTTATACCGCCACTACACTGTGAAGGGGCTTACACCTCGAAGGATGCCTGTGAACCAAGCTGGCTTAAAAAGTTAGTTCCTTTCAGGACGTTCCTAGCGCGACGCTGAACTCATGAGACTAAATCAACAGTTAACTTACTTGAACATTGCCATGGTAATGTTAACCATACAATTATCGTTACTTTTACAGATTTAACTCTGTCCGATTTAACGAAATTTCGTACACGATATTTTTAAAAGAAAAATATAACACTTGTGTACATATTTTAATGTAGTTTATATCTTCATTTAAAATTTCCTTTAGCAAATAACAATTTACATTAAAAAAGTACAATTTCGTAACAATTTCTTCTAATTAAGAGGATAGAGTAAGTCAGCTCAAATTCTAATTTCGCCCCCACTTCCCCGCGCGTCGTATGCTATGTACCGACATGTTTGTAATCACTAATACTGTAAGTAGGAAGGTCGTTAGACACTTATTTCATTAGGTTTATCATATTTATGCCTGTTTCTTAACGCCAAGCCAGCCGCTTCTTATTTTTATCACGGTTATTTCCCATTTTAATTTTACGTCGTACTGTTGCGTAATGTATATTCTGATCGTAAGCGACACAACTTCTCCCTTCAAAAGCCTAAGCGATACTAACGGCGCGACAGGAATCAAGCTCAAGACGCCGATAGTTTAGGTAATTTCTTTTTACAGTGAAAATAATGATATTTTAAAAAAAGTAAATAACATAAGCACTGCTTTATTATTAGTTCAGTTAGTATGCAAAGTTTCATGATCTTATTTAAAGTATTTTATGAATAACAGCGGTTTATTGTTCAGTTTGGAGGTAACTTTGGATTTTTTTTCTATCGAGAAAATTTTACGGAATCGTGTTTTCGTCTAACATAAACCTTAACATTAATCCTCAACTTTACCGTATATTTATTTCAAAATTAATGCTGCAATATTTTCGGCATAACGAAGGATCTTGCTAAGCCATTTGACATTATATTTCCCCTTAAGTAACGTTCGGAAAGTAAAACAAATAAATATTTTTGTTTGGTTATGTGGCCGTAGAAGGAAAAGGGGAGATCTCCCGCCGGGCAAGGTGTTGTGCCCGGGGGAGCGGCCAACGCTCCGTGTGATAGTTCGGAGATGTTCTATATATGCTGTTTATGATTCGGAATGTTGATAGCGTGATTTAAGCTTCGGTGTGTTTCGCTTGCGGCGCGACGACAGCGCCGCCACATCACCCCCCTGCTCAGACCGGAGGTCGATAGTGCAGTTCGATTGCCGGTGTGTCCTTTTAATGCCGGTGGGGAATGCATGCTGTGTGCGTAAGGGCAAGTGACACCGGTGCGAATAATATGCCGATGTGTAATGCATGCCTTACTACGCACTGGCAAGTGATGCCGGTGAGAACGATGTGCCGGAGCAAGTGCCAGAAGTCTGCCTTATAAATCTGCGGTGAGTCGAGATGAAGACAAGTTGGACTGGCTTGCAGGAACTGAAGACTGCAGAAGACGATTCTCAGTAGTGAATGGTAGGGGTTCTTGAGGATAATGACGAAGGCTTGAAATTGTAGTTTCCGAAGGTGTTTGGTTGCGTGTTCAGATCACGTCGGATGGTCGCCACTGTGGCCGTGGAAGGAAAAGGGGAGATCTCCCGCCGGGCAAGGTGTTCTGCCCGGGGAGCCGCCAACACTCCGTGTGATAGTTCGGAGATGTTCTATATATGCTGTTTATGATTCGGAATGTTGATAGCGTGATTTAAGCTTCGGTGTGTTTCGCTTGCGGCGCGACGACAGCGCCGCCACAGTTATATAATAAAAGTCAGAAATTGATTTATGCATATACAATAATTAATAGAATTATATTTAAATTTATGCATATGCAATATAAAAGTATAATTTAAAATAGGAGTTCAATTGAATAAAGTTTTTATATTCGGTAACAGGACGATTAGTAAAAATATCTGCAACCTTAATAAAAAATAGATTATTAGTCATTAAACGAAATAAACACAATGATTGTATTTAATAAGAGATTTTTTTTATAAGATAGGGTGACAAACGAGCACACAGTTCAACTGATGGTACCTAAGTGCTTGCTGCGGCCCAAAGTCCTCTCATCTGTCCAAAACCTTCTAATTAGAAAATATAAAAAAGGTGAACGTATACATTTACACATATTCTATTAGCTTACTTAACAATAATTCTAACAACATATTATTATTTTATAGAGTTTCCATTCATAATTATTAAGATATTACCATTTTAATGACACGCGTCACGTAGGCAATAAATCACTCGTTTAGGGTTGGACAGTATGCGCCAAAGCGGCAATTTTGGCCGGGACAATTGAGAAGATAGACACCTACATGTATCCTCGATTATGAATCAAAATGCAGATGCATTGTCACCCATGAAGACTAAGATGGAATGCCTCGTTTCCAGCAAAAAGGGTCTCCGGTTCTCTACACTCACCATACGAAACATTTCTGTATTAAGCTACTATTATACTATCGACCTTCTCCGGTCGAGCCGACCCATTCGTGCTACAACTATATTACTAATATAAATGCTCTACCACGTATATTAGATGTAGCAACCACCAGATTCTATATACCTACTACGAGTATTCAAAATAACCCCGTATAAAGATGACTGTTCTGCAGTAGGACGTACATATAAAGGCTTTAAGGTACTTCTTAAATGAAACTGATCATCTTATTCTTGCCCTTGTAATTAATAGGCCTGCGCTATTAAGAACGTACTTCTTAAATATTTGACTTGATAATAATTCCAGCTAAACATGATAACGTTTTTACGATATAATATTTTTAGAAATACATATTTATGTTTATATTGCTATATAAGTTATTCCGCCTATGAGTCATATAAAGGTCAGCAGTACTGTGGCAGTACCTAGTTATGAAAATACAACTACTTGCAGCATTATATTTTACGCAGTAGTCACATCGATAGTGTCATCTATCTATCATATATTGTACTTTTTCTTACTAAAATGTTATTACGTAAATATTTGTGAGAAAAAATATTATTTTTATATCATGCATCAGGTAGAAGTATAATAAATAACATTATTTTACACAATTTAATTACGATTTCTGAGGTAAGATTAAAATGCGCTTGATGACTCAACGCCGCCATTGAACTAATGCTAATTTAAGAGACTGTAATTTCCCACAGAAAATTCAATTTGATTAATGATCAAGAAATCAAAAGGTTGAGTGTTTTTCTCAAAAACTACATGTGGCCCTTTCGCGAGTCACTTCCAAACAAAATCTGTTCGTATTGTTGTAATGAATATTCAGTTCCAAATATTGTACGTAAGTAATCTATATAAATATAAAAGGCAAACATGACTCATCAACTATCAACGCACAGCCGAGACTGCTGAACTGATTTCGCTGAAATTTGACATACAGACAGTTGTAATGGCGTAGGCATCCGCTAAGAAAGGATTTTTGAAAATTTGCCCCCTATCGAATACGTCAAAATAGAAACGGAGAGATTAAATTATATCAAAAATTAATCAAGCTAAATTACCTGCTGATAGTTACATGAATTTAAAAGATGCTATTGGACGACAAGACGCAGAAGCCAAACAACTAGGACAAATGTTTGTCCTTCCATCATCTTTTACGGGGGCATAGAACGCTATTGACCTATGTTAGAAATTACGGCCGGCCTGATCTTTTTATCACTTTCACATGCAATCCTCGCTGGAACGAGATAAAAGAGCGATTCCTTCAAGGACAACAATCTCATGATAGACACGACATAATTTTGAGGGTGTTTCGACTAGAGGTGAAAAAGATCATGAACTAATTGACAAAGTGCAAAATATTTGGTAAAGTGCGATGCTATATGTACTTAGCGTTTCGGCAAAAGAGAGGTCTTCCACATGTTCTTATTTTTTTATGGCTTCACAAACGTATTACTCCGAATCAAATCGACAATATAATTTGTGCTAAAATACCGGATCCTAAACGTGACCCAGAGCTTCACGAAATCGTTAAATGTAATATGATACATGGTCCGTATGGAACTTTAAATCGAAAGTAACCATGTATGAAAGATAACATGTGCAGTAAACGATACCCCAGTGATATCATAAGGGAAACTCAAGCTGGTGAAGACGGTTATTCGTAGTACAAGAGACGTTTACAAGATGACGGTGGGTTCTCAGTTGATATCAAAGGCACAACCATAGACAACGGCTGGGTAGTCCCTTATAATCCAGTCTTATTAAAAAGATTCGGTGAAATCAATCAAATACGTCTGTAAATACGTAAATAAAGGTTCATATCTGGGAACTTTTGCTTTAGAGAATGAGAAGGATGAAGTAAAAACCTACATTAGGTGAAGATATATAAGTTCGTTAGAGGCAGTATGGCGAATCCTTGAATTTCACATTCATGAGCATTTTCCTCCTGTAGTCCATTCGCTGTTCATTTGGAAAATGTTCAAAGGGTTTATTTTAATGAGCAAAATCTGAGTGAAAGAGTGAATAATCCTCCAACAACCACAATTCTATCCTTTGTCGATTTGTGTAAAGTGGATAAACATTGCTCCACCTAGAAGTACCTGCATACTACGTTGGGATAAAAGAAAGTTCTAAAGGAGAAAGAGAGGAGCAAACCTTGAAGGCTGGCCAGGGGTCAAAAAAAAGCATGTTCTGGGCAGGGTTTATACTAAGCATCCGTACAATACAGAATGCTATCACCTTCACATGCTTCTTCATGAGATCCACGGCCCAATTTCATTTAAAGCGTTAAACTGTAGATGGTCATGTATATTCCACGTTCCAATCAGGTTACAAAGCTTTCGGCTTGCTTGAAGAGGATCGACATTTGTTCGGCTACTAAAAGATTATGGGTTACCCCAACCAAGCAAAGAACAACAATTTGAAAATAGAGAGTTTCTTAAAGAAACAAGTTGCGACTTAGCATCAATAGAAAACACAGTTAAAAATAATTAGCAAAAGTTAGAAGTACTCGCGGAATGGCTTTCGCTGTGGCTTTTTCTGGGATCCCAGCTACACTGCTTGAGGGTGGACTAACCGCTCATGCAACCTTCAAGTTACCACTCAATTTAACAACAGCTGATACTCCCATTTCTAATATATCGAAACAAATCAATTTTGCTGAAGTATTAAAATATACGAAAATGAAATAACCGT